TTTAAATTTGAATTTTATTGTGATAACGATAACGGCAATAGTATAAACAAAGACAACCACGGTTCTGGTTACTAGAACGAAACAGACCAAAAGCTGGATCATGGAGTTTTCAATGTTTGCAAACGTTTACAGCTTCGTTTAGCAACCGGACGTTCCGAATTTCATAAAACAATCTTTTTAAATCGTTTTTATTTCGGCCATCAGTACTATTAAAGAATAAAGATAATTTTATTGTTTTTGTCTTGTTTTTACGTTCTGCCTTATGGTAATTACATTAGACTGTAGTCATAATATCAGCTAATAAATGAGCAGTAAGTACCTTGTAAGTTGTTATAAATGCATCACATATCATTATATCAATAGTTTATAGTTGGTTAATCAAAATAGAATACTAAACTCAATTTGTACATAGAAGAATTTTAATTAGAATGTAATCTATTATCTAAGTATCTCTGATAATGTTTTTGTGAGAACCTCATATCAACATTTTAGTTGTTGAATAAAATTGAATACCAAAGACTGAACATCTTATGAAATGCACTGTATTTACTTTGTAGCGTACACCCGCTTAGAGGAGACTGTGATAGGATGAAGGTTAGTTGAGATGTTAAACGTCTGATTAAACGTATATGGTATACTAAATGAAATTATATTGTACCTATGTCTGTCATTTATTAACAAGCACTCAAGATATTGTAATAAAATGTAATTTAAACTAAGATTTATCTAAATCAACGAAGGTCGCAGGTGTGTTAGAAAATGTTTAATTGCTCGGATATTTTTTATTATATTAAGTCCCAAAAAACCATCATTAATTGAAATAATCTTAAGTCAAAGAAAGTGTGAATCAATAAGAGTTCTGGTGTTGAGGTGCATGTCCGTACTATGTGGAATCATGTCTGAGGATGGGCCATTTCGGGTCTCTGAGGTCTGTCCTATATAGTGCAAACACTCTACTCTACTTGACCCTTGCGACTTGTGCTGCAAATTGCCATGGACCGCCTTCCATAAATAGATAGTTTGACCATACTCATAGGTAGGGCACATGTGGATCTGTGACCCAGGGTTGCAGATGCACCTATTGTTGGCTAGTTCTATGATCGATCCGGGGTTTTGTAAATCGTGTAGTCCTGTCACAGTGCCAAGTCCGACTATCAAAATCTACTACACCCGAGGATTTCCCAAAGCATATTATATTCTACCTACTAGTTCTTTGTGGTAGCTCTTTTTGTCGCATGTGGTCCGTGCCAGATGTTGCGACTATTGCTAAGAACTATTTATCTCCCAGGATCTCGTTGTAATGCTGATATCATTCTGACTACTTTATGTGTGTTCGAATATGTAGTATATAATGATATATTGTGTATTACAACTATGAGTAGGGTTCGTGTACAGCAACTCATACGTTTAGT